TCAGAGTAGCATCCAGTGCATTCTCATAGGTATCGCTTTAGTTTTACAGGTTGCTTACGAGTAGTGGAATGCTTTACAGATCCTGAGGTAAAAGTGGAACCGAAGAATTCATCATTTCAGTAAGAGCGAGACCTTTGCGTATGTTCGTTCAGCTACTGACGAGTTGAGTGCCAAATATGATTCCTTCCAAGGGTATCCATCAATACATCCTGTGCATGCATGAACGTTGCAAACGCCAAGTTAAGAGACTTCTTCGCACAGTGGTATTTCCAAGAGAAAGAGAGTTTCAAATGCACAACTTGCATGACGAGTTAGAACAGGGAGATGAGTGTTACAAAGACCGCACTACGGTTTCCATGGCGGCAATCTCCAGTTGAGATTGATCGTCACATTCCAAATCGCTTTATGCTTAAAGGATTGCCCACCAGACAGGAGGCAACCATAAATTAGGCAAACTTAATGAGCGGAGAATACAGTTGACAAATCTGAATTGGAGTGATTCGATTAATTCTCCATGCCAGTCATTGAATGTGCCACATTTGAAAGGAAAGTCAGGTTCTTGTAGTCATGCAGTTGTTTCAATCTCAGTCATGGCGATTTACTCATCCTTACTGATTTGTGCAAAATTGTGTGATATGTTTGCAGCTGCGGTCCGGTTGAGGTCATTAACATTGGCTATCGGGAAGCACAATATTCCAAAAATAGATGCACGCTGTGGGCAGCAAAGCCCTAGATTTTCCACAATTCTTATTTCTAACTTGCATCTATTTAATTTTACTGTCCTGTAATGAGCGAAACCGTGTGAATTGTCGTATGTGGTTGTGCTGTAACGTGGACAGCCGTAAGGCTGATCTTCTTTGTGGTTGACGGTAGCCACGGTTGCATCTTTGTGCTTGCACCGTAGTTTGTGAAAAAACCTTCAAATTCCTTGGATTAGCAGGAGCCAGCTGACGTTGTACAGGTTTCGTTTCTAATACTTTTGCTTGTAAGGTGAAACAAATGCGACTAAAACTAAATGACTTGAGCACTTACTAAATAAATGTCTCAGCACTGCATTATACGATGCTGTTCATAAGGATAGAGTGGTAGTAGCAGTAAGCCACTAGATGATTAAAGGCTGAGGAATGGTTTAAATGCCAGGTAATAAATTGCGGAACGTATAAAAGCGGCACGTGCGAGTGCACAGTATGTCAAAATAGAATTTTCCTGCCACATAATCCACCGTTGCAGCTGTGACATCCATTGCATCATATGACTTACGAAGAAATCATATTTGCTGACGTGAATTTAGCATAGAAGTGTAAATCTTAATTCACATTTAAGACGTTGTTTCGACCGTGAGGTAAATATGCCAATGCCAATCCTCCGATTCGCTGCGGCGTGTATGTGGTTCGGTGAGCAAGGTGTGTACATGGATTAGCTGAAGAAATCGAAGCGATCAACTCTTTCATACATTATGCATGGGGAAATTTGATTAAAATTACTTTTATTTTGCCTTGTAACGTAAATGCTGAAAATTAAGCAAACGTATGCTCCCGATCCCTGTGCGTGCTCTAGTTGCAACAACCGAACTTTCTAATCCCGATTGTGCATGCAAACAGATCAAGCAAAGTTATGATAAACTAAGCAGATTTCAGTTACTGCGACGGTTTTAATGAGCTACGTTAATCCTGCAATTCAACTAAATGTTACACGCGAATTATCGTGCCATTTATTTACGTCCAAATTGTCGCGCCAATGACGTTTCTAGTAGCATAAATGCCAGCACGCAAAAAATAGAAATAGGTAATGTTGTAGTAATAAAATATTAAAAGAATAATTGAATACCAATAGAATGTAATGCTTTATAGTCGGTTTATCATAATCTAGGCGCCTATGAGGCAGATCTGCGATTCTGTAGATAGTCGCGAGTGTCGAACAAAATGCATTGCATGAATATCACCGTTGTGGTTTACTTACAGTCTGTACTCATGCGAGAAAAATCGGTTTTGCAGATTTGTTGAGCATTTCTTCATTCTCACATTTTCCATACATCGGGGTGATCAATCCGAACTTAAGGTGACAACCATGCCTAATGAGACTCAGCACACCTTCATCAATACCGGGGACCATTTTCTGACAAGTGGGTCTGCCTAAAGGGTTAGAGAATAAACGGTTAGAATCAGGTTTTAGGAGTGCATCGCGACTGATTTATTAGTGGAGTGTTATCACCTGAAACACAAGGAATCTTCCATGCCCGTTGTAACCCACCACACCTCTATTAATGCATTTTATGGCGGGGAATGGGTAGCTTCAAAATTGCTTATGCGGAATTCGGAGAAAGGGCAAATGTGGGGGCTAAAGTTGGAAAGTTCAAACACTTGCACAGCACAATGCTATGTGACTGTGCAGAAATTGTCAAATGAAGAGACAGTGTTGATCCTCATCCCAGATGTCCACTCCGTTGGCCTTGAATACGGGAACGTGGAAGGCAATTTGCTGCAAACACCATGTGCAAGGCAGCAGCGTGTTGGTGGATCGTCGAAACTCTTCTTGCCACATTTATCACTACTTAGCATTAAGAACCTTAAATGTTGAGTGCATCAGGTCAAAGATTAGGCGTTTTGTAGGAATGGATGTAAATTTCTAATATCCTGTTTTGGGGAGCCAGATGCTCCTTTTGCCTTCCAGATCTCCTTTGAGCGATCATCATCAAAATCACTTCATTTCCACTTTCGTGCAGTTTAAAACTCTGCCACCTTCAAGGTTTATCTACTTTCTCTCAAAGTCATGCTTTTGCTTAAAAAAGGCATGGGAATCATTGCAAAGTAATGTATGGTTTGTATGCATGCGCTAACATGTGTTCATTTCGATTTTTAGGCGATGCACAAGTCACTCACCGCAAAGAGCCATTTTTATTCATGTCATAATATAAGGCAATGAACGCACGTGCCAAAAGGCTCAAAATTGAGAGATTGCATTACAAAATGCGCAGACAATACTAAAGAATTCAACAAGCTTAAACGCGTTTCGCAGTCATGCATTACACAGGGATGAAGCATTTGCTATTAAAAAGTCCTTTGCACTGAGATCCAGGTAATCACGACAGTCCCGCACTGCAAAAATCATCCGAGTGCCTAGCCACAATTAAGAGAAGGAAGTAGAATAATCAAGATTAGACTCTCGGCAAGCCAGCTCTAGTAGGATATTAGAAAATCAATTCCCTGCCATCATCGACATCTACACTGACGTGCACATGCACATTTACAGTGTCTGTGGCATTGTCAATAAACCACTTTATCATCTTTGTTCACCAGTTCAAGTGTGGTTTCTCCAACTGCAAGCAATCCATGACGTGCGCATCACAAGTGTGATGGTGGTGTGCAGCAAGTACGCACGTAGCAACAAAAGTACATGGAGCGCGAACATTGCGTGGAGCGAGTAGAGACGATGAGAGGAGTATAAAAGGCGACACATGTGAGCAGGCAAGTGAGTATCAAAAGAAGCGAAGGAACAGTCAGAGAAATGAAATTAGCGAGCTGGCTGTGTTCGTATCCGTGGAAGTAGGCTCCGAGGACTAATGTCATACAGGGCTCACAATGTGGGCAGAAGAGTGCATGGTCATCATGGGTGATGCCACAATGCGAGATGCCGTATAGATGGTCATCTATGGTGGTGCCGCAGTGTGGCAAGCCGTGGGGATGGTCGTGTTCGTGGTAGACTGAACACACGACTGAGGCTGCTTGCCCTGGCACCAACGCTGATGATGAAGCCTCCCAATTGCATGGATGTAGAGGAGGCAGCTGACATTGTACAAACTCTCCTCTACCACTCTACTCCTTTAACACGAATATGCAACACTAGTGTTGATTGTTTGTGGAAATGTCGAAATAAAAGATTAAGCACACCACCGTACTGTGCTTTTCACATTACCAAGCAGCAATCATGTGGAGCAGCGTCAAGGTGCTAAAGGGAGTGTGAACTCAGTATACCGAGGTGAGATAATGCATCACTTTGCAAATCCGCCATTGTATTATTAGGAGAGTGTAGATGTGCCATTTGCTAACAGCACTACCAGGCGAATATGTCGTCGGCATGGATAGCAGGCATGCCATTGTAGCAAGGAAAATCCGGCACTGCAGTAGTATTAGGTTGAGATACGTGAATTCCTGTGCTTTTCTTACAAGCTGCACATTCTTGCCAACTTCCCTAAGACTGATGATTAGAGATTGGCATAAGACCCTCACACTCCATCCACTCAGCATGAGCAGGTTGGAAGCTTTAAGGCTCGGAAATTGCATTTCTACATGGAACATTCCGCTAAGTCGATTCAGCTACTGCGTTGTGTGCTGCAAGTCACATTCAGGCATTGCACATACCAGCTATTGGAATGAGGTTATCATACTAATTTGTCCCAAATGCACAGTGGTGGCGAGGTCGTGGCTGTGAGGCAGCATAGCATTTCACTGCGGCTTATCTCAAATGCAAGTATTCGGATATTGTAAATACCACCCTCTGAATAGAGCTTGTAGTACATTTGTGAATGCTACAATGCCTTCACCTTGTTGGAGAACCTTAAATTCATTTATGACTTCAACTATGTATGCTCGTTTTATCCCATCGCACCAACTGAAACTGCAACAGTGGCAGAATGGATCCAGGAGCACTCTTCTGCCGGACTCCACCAAAATGACTAAATCACTAACATACTTTAGAATTGCAAGTCCATTTATTTGTCTAAAAGGTAAATTTTGCAGAGTCGTCTTGCTTTTGGGCATGTAGTCGTGAAATTTGATATAGGATCATCAGCACTCCCATCTCCTGTCTAATCGCAGTCTAGTCACGGGCTATGACACCAAATGATTGCCTCTTACTTTATCCTTGCTTTTGTGATTAGGAGCAACCCAGCCTTTTTTGGATACCAAGAAACGAGGAGCAGCTATGATTTGACACTTAGCTGACAGCGCCATATCCGGAACTCATGAGACACCCTATGATTGCGTCAATGCGTGTGAAAAGGCCTTGGCATTCCATAGAGTGTCAAAAGTCAACCAAATGTTTTAAACCCCTTTTCACATTCATCTATTGCTAGTACTATGCATAGTGCTATCATATGGGATATGTAATAGCTGCTTTAAATACATTGGATTTTCACAAGGATTCGCACAGCACCCGAGCAGCAGTGGGTATTTTGTCACTCACCTGTCCGTTCTATTCATCCCGAATTATACACTCTTCATCTGGAGTGTGAGGCTCAGAGTAGCATCCAGTGCATTCTCATAGGTATCGCTTTAGTTTTACAGGTTGCTTACGAGTAGTGGAATGCTTTACAGATCCTGAGGTAAAAGTGGAACCGAAGAATTCATCATTTCAGTAAGAGCGAGACCTTTGCGTATGTTCGTTCAGCTACTGACGAGTTGAGTGCCAAATATGATTCCTTCCAAGGGTATCCATCAATACATCCTGTGCATGCATGAACGTTGCAAACGCCAAGTTAAGAGACTTCTTCGCACAGTGGTATTTCCAAGAGAAAGAGAGTTTCAAATGCACAACTTGCATGACGAGTTAGAACAGGGAGATGAGTGTTACAAAGACCGCACTACGGTTTCCATGGCGGCAATCTCCAGTTGAGATTGATCGTCACATTCCAAATCGCTTTATGCTTAAAGGATTGCCCACCAGACAGGAGGCAACCATAAATTAGGCAAACTTAATGAGCGGAGAATACAGTTGACAAATCTGAATTGGAGTGATTCGATTAATTCTCCATGCCAGTCATTGAATGTGCCACATTTGAAAGGAAAGTCAGGTTCTTGTAGTCATGCAGTTGTTTCAATCTCAGTCATGGCGATTTACTCATCCTTACTGATTTGTGCAAAATTGTGTGATATGTTTGCAGCTGCGGTCCGGTTGAGGTCATTAACATTGGCTATCGGGAAGCACAATATTCCAAAAATAGATGCACGCTGTGGGCAGCAAAGCCCTAGATTTTCCACAATTCTTATTTCTAACTTGCATCTATTTAATTTTACTGTCCTGTAATGAGCGAAACCGTGTGAATTGTCGTATGTGGTTGTGCTGTAACGTGGACAGCCGTAAGGCTGATCTTCTTTGTGGTTGACGGTAGCCACGGTTGCATCTTTGTGCTTGCACCGTAGTTTGTGAAAAAACCTTCAAATTCCTTGGATTAGCAGGAGCCAGCTGACGTTGTACAGGTTTCGTTTCTAATACTTTTGCTTGTAAGGTGAAACAAATGCGACTAAAACTAAATGACTTGAGCACTTACTAAATAAATGTCTCAGCACTGCATTATACGATGCTGTTCATAAGGATAGAGTGGTAGTAGCAGTAAGCCACTAGATGATTAAAGGCTGAGGAATGGTTTAAATGCCAGGTAATAAATTGCGGAACGTATAAAAGCGGCACGTGCGAGTGCACAGTATGTCAAAATAGAATTTTCCTGCCACATAATCCACCGTTGCAGCTGTGACATCCATTGCATCATATGACTTACGAAGAAATCATATTTGCTGACGTGAATTTAGCATAGAAGTGTAAATCTTAATTCACATTTAAGACGTTGTTTCGACCGTGAGGTAAATATGCCAATGCCAATCCTCCGATTCGCTGCGGCGTGTATGTGGTTCGGTGAGCAAGGTGTGTACATGGATTAGCTGAAGAAATCGAAGCGATCAACTCTTTCATACATTATGCATGGGGAAATTTGATTAAAATTACTTTTATTTTGCCTTGTAACGTAAATGCTGAAAATTAAGCAAACGTATGCTCCCGATCCCTGTGCGTGCTCTAGTTGCAACAACCGAACTTTCTAATCCCGATTGTGCATGCAAACAGATCAAGCAAAGTTATGATAAACTAAGCAGATTTCAGTTACTGCGACGGTTTTAATGAGCTACGTTAATCCTGCAATTCAACTAAATGTTACACGCGAATTATCGTGCCATTTATTTACGTCCAAATTGTCGCGCCAATGACGTTTCTAGTAGCATAAATGCCAGCACGCAAAAAATAGAAATAGGTAATGTTGTAGTAATAAAATATTAAAAGAATAATTGAATACCAATAGAATGTAATGCTTTATAGTCGGTTTATCATAATCTAGGCGCCTATGAGGCAGATCTGCGATTCTGTAGATAGTCGCGAGTGTCGAACAAAATGCATTGCATGAATATCACCGTTGTGGTTTACTTACAGTCTGTACTCATGCGAGAAAAATCGGTTTTGCAGATTTGTTGAGCATTTCTTCATTCTCACATTTTCCATACATCGGGGTGATCAATCCGAACTTAAGGTGACAACCATGCCTAATGAGACTCAGCACACCTTCATCAATACCGGGGACCATTTTCTGACAAGTGGGTCTGCCTAAAGGGTTAGAGAATAAACGGTTAGAATCAGGTTTTAGGAGTGCATCGCGACTGATTTATTAGTGGAGTGTTATCACCTGAAACACAAGGAATCTTCCATGCCCGTTGTAACCCACCACACCTCTATTAATGCATTTTATGGCGGGGAATGGGTAGCTTCAAAATTGCTTATGCGGAATTCGGAGAAAGGGCAAATGTGGGGGCTAAAGTTGGAAAGTTCAAACACTTGCACAGCACAATGCTATGTGACTGTGCAGAAATTGTCAAATGAAGAGACAGTGTTGATCCTCATCCCAGATGTCCACTCCGTTGGCCTTGAATACGGGAACGTGGAAGGCAATTTGCTGCAAACACCATGTGCAAGGCAGCAGCGTGTTGGTGGATCGTCGAAACTCTTCTTGCCACATTTATCACTACTTAGCATTAAGAACCTTAAATGTTGAGTGCATCAGGTCAAAGATTAGGCGTTTTGTAGGAATGGATGTAAATTTCTAATATCCTGTTTTGGGGAGCCAGATGCTCCTTTTGCCTTCCAGATCTCCTTTGAGCGATCATCATCAAAATCACTTCATTTCCACTTTCGTGCAGTTTAAAACTCTGCCACCTTCAAGGTTTATCTACTTTCTCTCAAAGTCATGCTTTTGCTTAAAAAAGGCATGGGAATCATTGCAAAGTAATGTATGGTTTGTATGCATGCGCTAACATGTGTTCATTTCGATTTTTAGGCGATGCACAAGTCACTCACCGCAAAGAGCCATTTTTATTCATGTCATAATATAAGGCAATGAACGCACGTGCCAAAAGGCTCAAAATTGAGAGATTGCATTACAAAATGCGCAGACAATACTAAAGAATTCAACAAGCTTAAACGCGTTTCGCAGTCATGCATTACACAGGGATGAAGCATTTGCTATTAAAAAGTCCTTTGCACTGAGATCCAGGTAATCACGACAGTCCCGCACTGCAAAAATCATCCGAGTGCCTAGCCACAATTAAGAGAAGGAAGTAGAATAATCAAGATTAGACTCTCGGCAAGCCAGCTCTAGTAGGATATTAGAAAATCAATTCCCTGCCATCATCGACATCTACACTGACGTGCACATGCACATTTACAGTGTCTGTGGCATTGTCAATAAACCACTTTATCATCTTTGTTCACCAGTTCAAGTGTGGTTTCTCCAACTGCAAGCAATCCATGACGTGCGCATCACAAGTGTGATGGTGGTGTGCAGCAAGTACGCACGTAGCAACAAAAGTACATGGAGCGCGAACATTGCGTGGAGCGAGTAGAGACGATGAGAGGAGTATAAAAGGCGACACATGTGAGCAGGCAAGTGAGTATCAAAAGAAGCGAAGGAACAGTCAGAGAAATGAAATTAGCGAGCTGGCTGTGTTCGTATCCGTGGAAGTAGGCTCCGAGGACTAATGTCATACAGGGCTCACAATGTGGGCAGAAGAGTGCATGGTCATCATGGGTGATGCCACAATGCGAGATGCCGTATAGATGGTCATCTATGGTGGTGCCGCAGTGTGGCAAGCCGTGGGGATGGTCGTGTTCGTGGTAGACTGAACACACGACTGAGGCTGCTTGCCCTGGCACCAACGCTGATGATGAAGCCTCCCAATTGCATGGATGTAGAGGAGGCAGCTGACATTGTACAAACTCTCCTCTACCACTCTACTCCTTTAACACGAATATGCAACACTAGTGTTGATTGTTTGTGGAAATGTCGAAATAAAAGATTAAGCACACCACCGTACTGTGCTTTTCACATTACCAAGCAGCAATCATGTGGAGCAGCGTCAAGGTGCTAAAGGGAGTGTGAACTCAGTATACCGAGGTGAGATAATGCATCACTTTGCAAATCCGCCATTGTATTATTAGGAGAGTGTAGATGTGCCATTTGCTAACAGCACTACCAGGCGAATATGTCGTCGGCATGGATAGCAGGCATGCCATTGTAGCAAGGAAAATCCGGCACTGCAGTAGTATTAGGTTGAGATACGTGAATTCCTGTGCTTTTCTTACAAGCTGCACATTCTTGCCAACTTCCCTAAGACTGATGATTAGAGATTGGCATAAGACCCTCACACTCCATCCACTCAGCATGAGCAGGTTGGAAGCTTTAAGGCTCGGAAATTGCATTTCTACATGGAACATTCCGCTAAGTCGATTCAGCTACTGCGTTGTGTGCTGCAAGTCACATTCAGGCATTGCACATACCAGCTATTGGAATGAGGTTATCATACTAATTTGTCCCAAATGCACAGTGGTGGCGAGGTCGTGGCTGTGAGGCAGCATAGCATTTCACTGCGGCTTATCTCAAATGCAAGTATTCGGATATTGTAAATACCACCCTCTGAATAGAGCTTGTAGTACATTTGTGAATGCTACAATGCCTTCACCTTGTTGGAGAACCTTAAATTCATTTATGACTTCAACTATGTATGCTCGTTTTATCCCATCGCACCAACTGAAACTGCAACAGTGGCAGAATGGATCCAGGAGCACTCTTCTGCCGGACTCCACCAAAATGACTAAATCACTAACATACTTTAGAATTGCAAGTCCATTTATTTGTCTAAAAGGTAAATTTTGCAGAGTCGTCTTGCTTTTGGGCATGTAGTCGTGAAATTTGATATAGGATCATCAGCACTCCCATCTCCTGTCTAATCGCAGTCTAGTCACGGGCTATGACACCAAATGATTGCCTCTTACTTTATCCTTGCTTTTGTGATTAGGAGCAACCCAGCCTTTTTTGGATACCAAGAAACGAGGAGCAGCTATGATTTGACACTTAGCTGACAGCGCCATATCCGGAACTCATGAGACACCCTATGATTGCGTCAATGCGTGTGAAAAGGCCTTGGCATTCCATAGAGTGTCAAAAGTCAACCAAATGTTTTAAACCCCTTTTCACATTCATCTATTGCTAGTACTATGCATAGTGCTATCATATGGGATATGTAATAGCTGCTTTAAATACATTGGATTTTCACAAGGATTCGCACAGCACCCGAGCAGCAGTGGGTATTTTGTCACTCACCTGTCCGTTCTATTCATCCCGAATTATACACTCTTCATCTGGAGTGTGAGGCGTGCAATCTTATGCAAATTTGTGGCGTCTATGAATTGATTACTGCGATAGCTGTAAACGCTGAATTACCTGCTCCTCTGATGTAGTAGGCTGAGACCCCTGGCAGATGATTTGAGATTTGGAACAGCAGT